AGGGAGGAGAGGAGAGAGGAAGGAGGAAGGAGAGCTGACTAGAAGCAATTTATTTATTTGTAGAGGCTCTCTCCCGCTCCCCGACCCCTCTCCCTCTCCCCGGCTTCCTCTCCCCTCCCTCCCTGCACCCTCCCCCCCCCCTCGGTTCTCTCATGCATTTGCGTTCAATGGGACTTGGGCCACATCAGCGAAGTCCCAAGTGGAGAACACAATAATAATAGATCGGCATGCAAATGGAGAATACTCAGGTCAGTCAGCTTCATAATGCTGCTATGTACAGTTAAAGGCAGGAGAGACAGGAAAGACGCCTAGGAGGGAGAAGCAGGGTCCACACAGGAGATTCCCGGCACCTCAAATGTGGGAGTACAATGGACTGTGAGCATGCCCAGCAGCAACCGTGAAGCCTGCGGACACCAGAAGGGGTACGTTGCACAGTTTCAGGCAGTTAGCTACAGGATGCACGCTGTAGCAGGCAGCTAGCATAAGGAATTGAGATCCTGGTGGTAACCAGGTTTTCTCAGAAGTTGCGGCTCTCGGAAACACCGACCATCTTCAGGGACGCAGAGTTAGAAGTCTTGATGGTGAAGCCCCCAGACAGTGCCTTTTCTCTTTGGAAATACTCCCCCAAATACGGACTATTATTTTTTTTCCAAAATAAAATCCGCAGAATAGACAATTAAAGTGAATGATTAATTATGAATGCCTCATAGAGTAAACGCACAACCACAAAGCCAGTAACCGTATGGAAGTAAAGCAACCGTGATGGATAGGGCAAAAGCTGTCAGCCAGCCTTTCAGCACGGTGGCAAAATACCTGGACCAGGGAAGAAAGAACGATGCTCCCAGCTGTGGTGAGAAGTGTCATTCCACAGTCATCTGCCTGTGGACTGGTTAGAACATGGGGCGCGGGGAGCGGGGAGGGAGCTCATCTGAGCTAAGTAGACAGGAGGCAGAGGAGGGACAGGCACGATCAGGAACAGGGAAGCCCCTCCCAAGCACACCTCCAGCCTGGCTTCACATATAGAGACATCAAGTAGCTGACCCATCAGTGGCTACAGCCAGAGCCACCACAGTCAACCCCCTTCCAGTGACTGGACAGCCAACCGAGGACCAAGCCTTCAGCATATGCAGGGTCCTTGTAGGGAACTGTGCGTACCTTATCCGCACTGCGTGGATAGGATAGAGTGGCTCCAAGTAATACGTTAACATTTGTTTTTCTTTCACTGCACATGACATCCAACGTTCGTTGTATCACCAAGGCCATCCCTCCATTTCTAGAACTCTCGCTGGCTTCCCCGACTGAAACCGCGGCCATTAAGAGCAGCTCTCCTCCTACGTTGGTGGTGCACGCCTTTAATCCCAGCACTCAGGAGGCAGAGGCAGGAGGATCTCTGTGAGTTCGAGGCCAGCCTGGTCTACAGAGCGAGTTCCAGGACAGCCTCCAAAACAATACAGAGAAACCCTGTCTCGAAACGCCCCCCAAAAAAAGAAAGAAAAGAAAAAGAAAAAAAGAGCAGCTCTCCACTCGTCTCTGCCTCCCCCAGCAGCCACCGTTCATCTTTTGGTCTCTGTGAATTTGACTATCCCAGGTCTCTCCTGCCAGCGGGGAATCTTTTTGTTTTCTTTTATTCGTTTGGTGTAAAGTTTCTAAACTGCCTTCGTTTTTTTCGGGCTCTACTGAGAACGCACACGTGTGCTCATGACTAGATTTAGAACCAGCAGGTAAAAATCCAAGGGCTCACTGTTTCTCGGTCTTAGAGTTTGGGCCATGGAAAAAAAGAAGCAGGTAGTTTAAATTTCAAACTTAGCAACTTCATATAACTTAGTTCCTGGGTGGAACTTGTCTGTCTGTGTGGCCCTTTGAAGGGCAGAAGCCCTTCTTGCTGGCTACAGGAACCTCTGGCATCCATTTTTGATGTCTAGTTTTCCTTTCTCCAGGAAGAATAAAATAAAGTGGCCACTTATTAAATGTGTGGGTACTAACCTTACTCCCAGGAAGCAAAGAGTCCATGATAGTACACAAAGAAACAATTTCACAGCCATTTCCTTTACAATACAAACTGAGTGGCTTCAAGTCTTTACTGCCTCCAGCCAAACAACATTGCTACAATTGCCTTACAACCTGAGTCTCAACAACAAAATGCCCAAATACTAAGGAAATGGAGGTTTTAATCTGTTGATTGTATGTGCTTTCAATCTTCACAGTTTTTCTTTTTTTATGCAAGAGTTACCTGCTTGTGTTATTAATTCAGTTCAGTTAAGCAGAAAGAAATTCTCTCGAATAGTTGTTGCCATTATTCTAATTAGTGTTTAGCCTCTGCATCATTGGTGGAAAAAAAAAGTCTTTTGATGTATTTCTTGTGGTTGAAAAATAATGCATGTAAATTATTTCAAGTACAGATATTTTAAAGTAGAAAATTTAGGAATTATTCATAAAACGTTACCACCAAGGGATAATGAATGCTGATTTTGTGGCATTTTCTTATAAATATATATTAAATATGCACATGGTATCCCTCTCTTTGTACTAAAATGTATCACATTTTCCCAAGCCACCCATTGTTTTAGAAGTAAAAAATTAGCTACAATAATGTTCCATAATGTGGCTCGTACTTAATTATTTTCCCGTTTCTCCCATTTTAGAGGATTACCGATAGGGAGAGGAGGCATTTTGCCCTGATTGTTCAGAGCCAGATCCCATCGTCTTCCCTGCCTTCCTTTGATCACCGTGATTCCAGGCTGGTCTATAAATTGTGCAACACCCACAAGGCTAAACCACAAAACAGGATGGATATCACTTCAGAGAGCCATTTGAGGTCCGACCATGAGTGTGTGTTCATCAGCTTTCTGTTGCTATGGTGAAGTGCCCAAGACAGTGAAATTGAAAGGGAGGGAAGGAAGGCCTGTCCTGGTTTACTGTCTCACAGGTTTAGATCCGTGGTCACTTTGGGTAGCTTGGTATGTCACATCACAAGCACGTGGCAGAGGAGGCTGCTCACCTCAGGGTGACAGATGAAAAGAAGATGTGCCCAATGTTCCTAACAAGGGTATATGCCCCTGCCAATGGCCAAAAGTCCATCCACCAGAGCCCACCTCCTAAAGAACTCCTGTGACTTGGAGCTGAGGGTGTGAGCACTGCCTCACTCTCGCCAGATAGTGTTCAATTATTACGTTGTTTATAGCCAACATCAAAGCAAATGTACAGGCTGTTCTTTCACAGCTTTCTTATTTAGCATATCTGTATCTCCACATGCATATCAGATTAATTTTTTTTCCTACGTTAGTCTTGTGTTCAGGTGAAAGCTCAGTTCTCCCATTTGCTAAGGAAGAAATCGTCCTTGAAGTACCTCATGCTTGGGACTTCCAGGGTCCCAGAAGTCCTGATTTGTGACCAAAGGCTTGGGCGAATAGCCGATTAAAAGGCAATTCAAGTCTAGGGACAGTTAGGGTATCATCACTGACACCCTTCCTGAACTGTACTGTCGTCAGCTTTTGCCATCCAGGAGAAGTCATGTGACTTGCCGTTGGCAGCTGTAAGTTTGCGAGCGTGCTCTCTGTGTCCGATCACTGTTGGAACTGCACCTTAACAGGAGGTAGAGCCAGGAGAGTAGGGTTGACACTCCCTTGTGAAAGTGTAGGAGCCTAGCAAAATCCAAGTGACTCAAATAGAAGGCATGCAAATGCACTCTGCCTAAGAGGCAAACCACTGCTTATGAGCAGAATGAAATGTCTGAGAACACGAGTCAAGCCTGGGCTTCTAGTTTAGTGGCTTTGTGCTAGAGTATTTTCCTGACCGAGCACGTGTGAGGCCCTGGGCAAGATCACCTTCACTAGTAGAAATGTTACCTCTACTTAAATGCACGGATGAGATTCTAAGTCCCAAGGTTCTGTTTCTAGACCCTGGGTGAAATAAAAATCTTGAAATCAAAACAAAGCCACCACCACAGCAAAACACATTACATAAGGATATCCAAAACAAACGTATGGCTTGATTGTTAAAGGCCGGTGTCAAAACTTGAGAAAAAAAAAGCATGTTAAGCATGGTCACATCAAGTACCTCAGTGCCTCAGACAAAGCCTTCTTCTGGACCAAGTACAGATGTTATGAATGACGAACTTTTAGCTAAAACCAGTGTGCACAGAAAATATCTACTACAGCTTCCTCTGCCTTCATGTTTATAACCTGAGACGTCCCCCTACAGAGACCTCCTACACAGATTAGCCAAACCAAACATATAATGAGCCAACCTCCTCCATTTAAGTGTATTTTTTACAAATTAAAAAAAAAGAAATAAAGGAGCTTCTGTGCTGTTTCTGGTGCTGTGGGGAAGAAGTGACAAAAGGGAGACATTTCTTCTCACCTTAGCGGGGCTCAAGAGGTCCAGCTGCAGGCATCAGCTTAGAATGTTTGCAAAGGAAGGATGAGCCCTGAGAGGATCCCAAAGAGTAGAATATCACCAAGAGCCCATGTGTCCCACAGGATGCCTTATTGGAAACCTAAGTTTCTAAAGGGAGCTCTTCTTTCATGTGTATATCAGAGCAGATACTAGTAATTTTTAAGGATAGCTTAATTTTTAATCTTATTTACATGTATGAGTGTTTTGCTTGCATGATTGCCCGTGCACCACAAGTCTGCCTGATGCCCACAAAGGGTATCACATCCCCCTGGGACTGTGATGGGGAAGAAGTCCTTCCGTGTATATGTAAATAAAGCACCGTTGGCCAATAGGGAAGCAAGGTAGGTGGGACTAGGAGATGAGGAGGATCCCGGGAAAGAGAGGCACAGGCAGTCACGATGTAGGACGCAGGAGAAGTAAGAGGTCCAGAACCTTTCTCCGGTAAGAGACATGGAAATACTCAGATTAGCAATTATGGGTTAAATATTAAGTCGGAGCTAGCTGATAAGAAATCATAGCAGGGTGTCTTCCGGTCGGGCCAAGCTGGTGGCTGGGTCTGTTGAAGGACATCGGCTGAAGAATTTGTGATTTGGGCCAAGATTGAAGTCATGGCTGGTGCAGAAAGTGATGGCCAATTCCAGTTCACTGGTATTAAAAAGTATTTCAACTCTTACACTCTCACAGGTAGAATGAATTGTGTATTGTCCACATATGGAGGCATTGCTTTGTTGGTTTTATACTTCAAATTAAGGTCTCAAAAAACCCCAGCTGTGAAAGCATCATAAATGGATTTTGAAATGTCTAACCTCATCTGTAAAGTCCCATGCCTGAAGAAGCTGATGCCAACTCATCATGTAATATTCAATTTGTATTATGAACCTGGAAAAAAAAGAGAGATCATAGCAAACGGCCAACAGCTTCACAATTAACACAGTGTCCTATGTGTTATTTGGGGGCTAAAGCGGCGATGGGACCCAGGCGGGAATCCCGCAACAGGACTGTTGTTATAGATGGGTACTGGACATTGATTCCCGATCTGTTGAAGAAGCAGCCAGTACTCTCAACTGCTGAGCCGTCTCTCCAGCACAAATGACAGTGATTTTAACAAGGCAGAATCTCTCAGAATATGAGACCGAGGAGTGCTTTAACAAATGCCAGTCACTGTGGGAAGCTGTCTTTGGGGGGCTGAAGTCGGGGCCAGCTGTCTAGCCCACGGTTCGTACCTGGGGGTGGGGGATTGGGAGTTGGGAAAGGCTAGCTAAAGGTGTTAAAAGAAAAGTCAGAGACACAGGAATAAAATCAGGAGGGTGGATTCAGTCAATACTGAATGCCAGGAGTACTTAATACCTTAACCGCAAAGGGGAACATGGTATCCTGTGTACGGAACAGACTTTTCTTCGTCAGTTCTCCAAGGATTCGGTGACCACACCTTACATTTAGTTTCTCGTTATCCGGCCTTGAGGGGTCAGGAGTAACCACACCTTATGACAAGTCTGCTGTTATTTAGATAAGACACCCAAGGCCAAGATCAAACATCCCACTCAGCCTCGCCTTTGACCTTCAGGTCTTGTGACTTACTATAAGGACAGTTTTGAACTCTCTGAGCTTTAGTCACGATGGAGTGGAGCCATCTTCATGGACCCCGAAAAATCACCAAGCAGCCACCTTCAGGTCCTAGTACCTCCTGGACAGTGTAACCCCCATTCCCATTATTTCTCTGGGCCGCATGCAAACAGATAAACACCAGATCACAGGACGGTGGATGATGGTTTTGTGAATCCGCTCCCCTCACCAACTAAGTATGGGTCATGCTGTCAGGTTCATATCCTACACCCACCAGTTTTCCGTCAGATATTTGACACGGGGAAAGTTGCTTAGTCTCTCTGAACGTCTGTTTACAGCAGTAAGAAGGGTACCTGAACTAACTCAGAGATAGCCAGCATGTCATGTAGTGGCCACTCAACAAAGGACAACTGTCATCTTGGGGTGGGACACAATGAAGGGTGCTCCATACCAGTGAACTAATTATGACAAAGTTGACGAACGGTTTGTTTATGTCAAACCATTTCCCTTTGCTGTTTTTGCTTTTGTCTTCTGCCCAATCACTATGGCAATCATTCTCAAAACAACCTAGTGTGGAATGATTTGAGTAGAGGAGAGACAGACATAGAATGAGAAGACAGTGTGCTCTCTGACTAGACAAATACAGTAGACAAATGAACCCCTGAATCACTGTAGAATGCTTAATGGGGGGGGAGCTTGGATAAGTAGGCACTGAGATCCACTTTCCTGTTAAGTGAGATCTCCACAACCATGATTTTTTTTGGCTGCAATTGGTATGACACGTCATGAGTTGATGCTAATCTTCTGGGAACCTACTCAGATGGTGCTTTGTACATATAGCTAGTGCTCTGAGCACAATATGCATTGGGCATGGAAAGTTTCCTTCTGTTTTGAGTTCCCGTACACTTATGATAAATTCTGCCCTCGATTCTGCATGACATTGCTGGCAGAAGGACACAGTTTCTGGGTAAATGTTTGAGGCACTAACACCAGCCCCTGGATCCCAACATTGATTTGCTGGTCTTCTGCCACCTTCTATAAAGTAAAGATCCCGTTCCTTGGCATTTCTGATAGAAAAATCTTCAAAGAAGGAGTTGGTTAAGGATGAACATTCTAGTGAAAAAAATACTTGCTATTCCTCTGTCACTGCCCAAGACGGGAAGATGCAGAGTCAATTTAGTGGCTTCGATTGTAGCTGACTTTGGAAGGAATAATATACTCGGGTCTCTTTAGATGCATATTGCATAGGGAGCTGGCGCTAGGGCTGTGATTTTTTTGCAGATTGCAACCTGGTCAGATTTCCAAACACAGGCTACTTAGCCTTCCAATTGGGGAGAGGCAAGCAAGGCTCTGCCTCTTGGTGGCCTTTAAGGGCTTCCCAGTTCATTTCTGTAATATATGTGGGAGGTTTCCATTTCCCTAATTTTCTTGTCACACTTGATGTCCAGAACAGGTATGAAAGAGCACAGCTACATGGCAAGCAAGTCTGGCTGCTGCCTTCTCTGAGGAAGGAGGGAGATCCCATAGTACAAGGGCAGCCTCTGGTCCCTGGTACAGTGATGCATAAAATGGAAACTAGCAGCTTTCTTCCAGAAATCAGTGTCCTTGAAGTCACAAGTTGGTAGGGAGGAAGCCCAGCCCCTGACGGAAGTGGCTGAGGAGGACAGTGAACACAAGTGTCTTCCTCTAACAGCTTTGTGCAGAGTGGGCTTTTGATGATCCCCACAGTGGCACTCAGGAAAAGCACCGGATGTGTTCAGTTAGCATGCACATTAAATTGAAAAGGTTTGTATGCCTAATCCATTTGTAAATTAGTTCACAACTAAGCATTTGCTTAGCATCTGGTATGGGATCAGGAACTATCTAGGTGATCCATCGATTACACACAAAGAAACAAGACAAAAAAAACAAAAAACCAGCTGGGTGTTGGGGCATAGCCCTGTAAACTTGGAACAGGAGGATTGCAAGTTCAGGACCTACCTGAGCTGTAGCCTGAGTTCAAGATCAGTCTGGGTGACTTAGGGAGACAGGGTCCTGAAATAAGCACAAAAACCCCAAACCAAAGGGGTGGGGTGCCTTTACTGGTTGGATGCTTACACAGCGTGTGTGGCCCTGGAGCTGATCCTCAGTACCCACCTGTATCACGAGTCCTGTAGGATGCAACCAGTGATGGTAAATCAATTGCACTCTTGGCGCTGGGAAGCAGGAGTCTGCTATGAATGATAGTGTAAGTGTAGAGTGTAGGCATTTAACCTTGTCTAGAGAACGACAGAAGGGTATTCAAGAAAACAGAGGCCCCAGTGGAAATCTGAAGTGCATGCTGTAATTATTTAGGTAAACAGGGGGGAGGAGGAAAATTGTGGGCAGAGAGTGACACCCCACAAGACTGCCTTAGGTAGAAATGAACCACCCAGTACATACTGTGTATAACACACATATTGCATATTACATGCAATACCAAGAAAATCAATCTAATATCTGAGATGGTGCTAAGTGACTGGTGGGTAGATTGCACGGGTGACATGGATACATAGGACAGTGAGAGCAGCCACGCCCCAAGTGTCCAAGCAGAATAGCGCTCAATTCAAAACTTGGAAGTTCTGGACTCTCTGGAATCTTCCGTGTAATGCTTTTAGGTTGCAGCTATGTGTGGCTAAAGCATGCAAAGAAAGCGCCTCAGCTAAAGGGAACTACTGTATGTACGCGTGCTTTGTGAGAGGATCACCGCATTGGAGGGCTGGAGGAGGTAGGACGCACAACGGGCAGCGCGGGGAAATTGGCTAACAGAGCGGGTCTGGATCCTTCCGGCTTCCTAGGCCATTTTAATTGTCTTGCTTGCCCTGAGGTTAACAGGGAGACTCGAAATAGTCTTGGCTTTCAAAAACGGATGGTGCTATAAACCAACCAAGATACTTCCATACTCTCATCCCACACAGAACGGTTTCCAGGAAGCAGGGCTAGATTCTGGGTGTCCCCTTCAGGGGCTGCAGCCGTGGTACTATGTAGCCACAGCACTCTCTGCTGTGACTCAACAAGCATTCAGAACCCGTGGGGTGGGGAAGGGGGGTGGGTTGTTGTTCGTATTCTGGCAGGTCTCTCTGATCACAGACAGGCTGATCTTCCGTAAACAGAGACTCAAAGGGCGTACATCAAGCCGAAAGTGTGTCAAGGGTACTGGGAGGGATTAAGTGACAAGTGAGGCAGTCGTTTGCCTTCTTATCTTGTTGCTCCTTTCTAACTAAACACTCCTTTCCTAGAAGTGTGTGTGTGTGTGTGTGTGTGTGTGTGTGTGAGTGTGTGATGAGTGATGTGTGTGTGTGTGTGTATGGAGTGTGTGATGAATGGTGTGTGTGTGTATATAATGTGTGATGAGTGGTGTGTGTGTGTGTGTGTGGAATGTGTGATGAGTAGTGGGTTGTGTGTGTGTGTGTGTATGTGTATATGGAGTGTGTGATGAGTGGTTGTGTGCGTATGTGTGGAATGGTGTGTGTGTGTGTGTGTGGAATGTTGTATGTGTGTGGTGTGTGTGGAATGTGTGTATAGCATGTGGTGTGTGTGTGTAGTATGTGTTGTATTGTGTGTGTGGTATATGTGTATGGAATGTGTATGTAGTGTGTGGATTGTGTTGTGTGTGTTTGTGTGTGTTATGTGTGTGTGTAATGTGTGATGAGTGGTGAGTGTGTGTATGTGTATATGGAGTGTGTGATGAGTGGTTGTGTGTGTGTGTGTGTGTGGAATGGTGTGTGTGTATGTGTGGAATGGTGTGTGTGTGTATGGAATGTGTATGTGCAGTGTGTGTTGTGGGTGTGTTATGTTGTGTCTGTTGTGTGTGTGTGGTGTGTGTATGGAATGTGTGTGTAGTGTGTGTGTATGTTGTGTTGTATCTGTTGTGTGTATATTGTGTGTGTATGTGTGGTGTTTGTGTGTGATGTGTATGTGTAGTGTGTGTAATGTGTATGTGTAGTATGTGTGTGTGTGGTATATGTGGTGTGTGTGTGTGTGTGTATGATTAAGAAAAATAATTGCAAAGCAAGGAGACCATGAAGGTCCCACAATTAGTTTCCTTATTTCTTTGGTACCATGAAGAGGTCCGGCAAACATCAAATCTAGAAAAAAGCAGATTTCATGCCTTAAACTAGTCAGGACCCAATTGGTTGTTCTTTCTCTTAAAAACTAAACAAGTCATACTCATTGTACAACATGCAGAAAATCTGTACAATCAACCAAAAACTTCTAATTCTGCTAATGATGCTAATGACCTTTTTTTTT